GACCGAGCAGTAAAACAGCATTTTGTGCGGCACTGTGAAAGGATGTTAATGTTTTTATAATTTCCTGTTTCTTGTGAAGCTGCTGGAAACTTTTTGAGCCAAACCACAGGTTTTTCACTTCATCTCAGTATCTTCTATGTTCGCCCCCACCTTCACCTGTTCACGACGCGGCTCAGTCACAGATACACTTATGCTAACGCAGAAGGCTGCATGTCAGAGAATAACACAGGGTCTGTGTTATCCCGGAGCCTCACTGTCCACTCTGTGTGGTCTGCAGCCTGTCCAAGGTACCTCGCATCAAGTGACAGCAGGGACAGGCTGCGTCCATCTTTTAACTACAGCTGGTTAACCCTCAGCTTGTGTGGCTGAGGTTTAAAGGGTCAGTTCACCTATTTTTTGTTTGAAAGCTGCTCAGACAGCGTGTGCTACGTGTCGTGAATCAGCTGTGTTCACACAAGGAAATGATGCACTTCCTGTTTGGTTGTGAAAAAGATGTGATGATCTTTCCTCTTTTTTTGTCAGCTCTATGCCTGAAACACTCCTGACTTCATATCATCACTGACCCGTCGTTACGAGCGTGGTGATTGGTTGGTCCCCTCGGTCTGCTGGTTTCTGTGCATTCAAATTTAACTTGATCTGTACACGCTCAGATGTTTCAGAGTGAGTTTCTCAGCTTTGTGTTACAGTAACAGGATGTGAAGTGAAGCAGACTCACAACACATTAGCCAACCCTGTACTTTTGCTACAGATTGAGGAAAGGGTGTATACATATTTCCTGTTTCTCAGTTTTGTACAGCTCGTCACATAACTCTACTGCTTACATTGAAGTGAGTGAGACTTAAACTTGTTTTGGGGTGAGTGTTAAACACACTGATACTTACAGATCACTGTTAACTGTTTGAATCTATCAGACCTGTTGTGGTCGGACCATTAAAAGAATATTTAGTAGTATTTTAGAATCTTTAGTAACATGATCAGTGTTACTGCTGTTGGTGTGCCGAGGAAAAATCTTTCTGTTGCGTTTCTCATGATGGTTATTTAAATGTACTAGCATCATACTCTAACATACTTTACTGAATACTTGTATTTACCTTCATTACCATATGTGTGAATACTTCTCTGTGATTTATGGTGTCATTTTTCTGAATCTGTCATGTAAGTATTTTACTAAGTATTGGTTGCCTACACAGTAATTTAAAGGAAAAAGACGCCAGTAATACTGTAAGTATTTTCATGTAAACAGTACAGTTTTTGAGAATTTTAGAGAAAGGGGGCAAAACAACTCCACTTCCTATATGTGCAATTCCACATTGCTATCAGTGCAGCTGACTGTATTATAGAGTAGCCCATTGATCAGAGATCACTGATCAATAACCATGAGTCCCACTCACAGAGAGTCAGGGAATGGCTGCAATCACAGCATTGTAACATGGTGACAGATGTACCCTTAGGCCCCCTCCTCGATTCAGAGATGGTCTTTCCCTTTTCAGTGACTGGAAGTGAAGACAGATGTAACACTGTACGAGACCATTGTTTCATCTGCCTCCCTAACGACATCTCTCACCCTCTGTACGAAATCCAAGGTGTTCTGGATGTGGTGTTCAGAGCTGCCTTCCAAGACTCAAGATTTAAGGTCTTTATTGTCAATGCAACAATATACACAGTATACAGCGTACCGAAATGCCATTCATATAAATGCATGGTGCATTTATAAAAAAAAATGGAGAAAGATTATTTATATTCTTCTTTTAATATATTCTAAGAATATAAATAATCTATGTGCAAGAGATATGAAACTAGAAATTACAAATAAATAATAAATCGCTAAATTTGGGTTAAGTTAAGAGATAAAAAGGTACTATTAGCAACTATATCTATGTACAATAAACCAAGACAGGAATGAGACAATACAAAGTGGATTGTGCCATTAAAGTAAAGTGAGATGTTGTGCAGTGGTATTAAATATCAGGTTCAAGTTATGAGTCAGGATATTGTAGACGAGACAGGACGAAGACATGTGCAAGATGCAAAATGTGCAAATATAGTATAATTTAGATGTGTGTGCAGTAACTATGTGACTGAGTGTGCAGTAAGCGTATTGTTCCCAGGTCCAGTTTGTAGTGGATTTGTGGAAGTTTGTGTTGTTTTTGAGTCTTCTGATGAGTATTGCAAGGTGTTTGTAAAAGTGTTTGTGTTTGGTGGTAGTGAGTTTAGGGCTCTGACTGCTTGTAGGAAGAAGCTCTTGCAGTGTCTTTTTGTCTCGGTTTTGATGCTGTGAAATCGTTGGCCAGATAGAAGGAGGGAGAACAGTGCATGTGAGGGGTGGAAAGTGTCCTTCACTATGCTGTTCGCATGTTGGATGATGTGTTTGTGGTAGAGTTGGGACATGGGTGGGAGAGGGCCTCCAATGATCCTGTATACATATGTATACATACATATGTATACATATGTATGTAGACATATGTATATATACTGACGTCGTGACGTCGTGACGTCGTGACGTCGTGACGTAATCGGAGCACTAGGTGCGGTGACTCCCAATCTAGGCGAGTGGCTCCAGCAGATCCCGGGAACAACATCGGAGATCTCTGTCCAGAAGAGCGCAGTCCTGGGAACAGCTAAGATACTGCAGGACCCTCAAGCTCCCAGGCCTCTGGTAGAGGACCCGAGCTGGAAGGATTGACCGCCCACAGGGGCGAGTGGGGAATTATATATACACATACATATACATACACACACACTTTATCACAACAACAGTTGAATTGAATTGACTTTTATTGTCTGACTATCAGGGAGCTCTCATGACGTCAGTCGATCTCTTGGACATTCTGGAGGAGTTGACAGGAAAGGAGTTTGATGACTTTAAGTGGTTCCTGCAGCAGGACAGCTGCCTGGAAGGCCTCCCATCAATCAAAGCATGTCAGCTGGAAAAAGCAGAAAGGCGGGACACCGTGACTCTGATGGTACAGATCTACAGACTTCCAGGAGCTGTGGAGGTGACCAGAAAGGTTCTAGAAAGGATCAGCAGGAATGACCTGTTGCAGAGCTTGTCTTCTCTCTCACACACACAGGCTCCTCTTCCTCACCCTGAAGGTAAAATTGGAATTTTGGGTATTTAAGGAAGTCTTGAAAGACATAACTGAGCCAACTTTATTTATAGAGCACATTAAAAACAGCAACCACTGCCCAAAATGCTGGACACACATGATAAATTTAGACAATAATATTAAGGGTTTTGGTAAAAAGTTTACAAAGAAAATCTTTACTTGTCCTACTGCTATCTCACTTCCACTATAACTGCTAACTGAGGGAGGGGAGGAAGAACATTAGAACATTATATATGATATATACATTAGGTGAGTGTGCAGTAGTAGCATGTATGCAGCAAGCAGGTGAATTCTGTACATTAAGTGAATTAAATAAGAATAGACAATCTGACTATTTTACAGAATATGAACATATTTAAAATGAAAGGAATTGAAATGTGCATTGTGCCTTGGTTTAGAGTGTCTGGAAGAGTCCTGTCTCAGTCAATTATAGATGATGTGAGAGGGCGGGTGTGTGTGTTTAGGGCACGGATGGCTTG